TTTTTTTTTTTTTTTTTTCTTTTTTTTTTTTTTTGAATTTTTTTGGTTTTTTTAGAAAAAATAAAAAACCCCCCCCCCCCCCCAGTTAAGATTTCCCAAGGTTTTGTCTGATTTTCAAAATTATTCCCCAGATCCCAAGGGGGGTCGTGAATTCCCAAAATCTTGGGACATTTCCCAAGGTGTGGTAGCCCTGGAGTGGTAGCCCTGGTAGTCTCCCTTTGTAAACAAAACTCTACTCTTGTGTCCTAATTACCTCCGAATCAGATAAACGCAAAATTTATTTGCAAATCATTTCGAAGAAGGAACATAGAATGCATTATAATGTTGCTTATTGCCGAGCCATAAGTCATTTATTATTGTAACCTTAGCTCAGAAGAGGCCGAGACGAACGTTTGAGTGAAAATGAAAGCTCATTTTAATAATATTCTTTACAGAATAATTCAAAATAATTATGATTATAGTTAGGAAGCCTAATAATTTAATACTATAACATAACTATAAACTGTAACTATAATAATAATAGTTATAATAGCCTATAAGTTATAAGCCCTATACTATACTATATAATATTATCTATAATAATCGTCTATATCATATTCTATGTGGACTATGTCTATATTATTCATATTATTGAAAATTGAATGAATGCATTATAATTATATATGCTTCTGACCTTCTTCATCAGTGCTGTGTGTCATTATCATTAGTATTAGGTCTACAGTGAGCATTTAGTTATTTCCTACCCATTGACCATTACATTAAAGTACAGTAATATTAATTATTAGTCACTATCAAGCTCAAGGAGAGTGAAGCTCCATTCCAAAAAGCTAAGTGAACTAAGTGCAATGGATTTTAATTTTAAAATAAGCATGCAAAGCTCAGAATTATCCTGTGTTATATGTGGGAATGAGTTCTCATCTTGTAGTCAACTGAAAAATCACAAAAAGTTACATGGTTCACAACAAGGCCTTAAATGTGGAATTTGTAATCGAGTTTATTTAAGCAAAAAGTTGTTTGTTAAACATTTGCAAAGCCATGAAAAACCGATCTTCTTCAGTTGCTCGGAGTGTAATAAGACTTTTCCAAATAAAACCCGCCTTAGGACTCATAGTCGTAGTCACACTGGTGAACGTCCTTTCAAATGCTCTCATTGTAATAGTTATTTTGGCTCTAAATATCAAGCTAAGCTTCATGAACGTAGACACACTGGAGAAAAACCTCACTGTTGTTTAATCTGTAAAAAGAGTTTTAGTGCATCAAGTGGCTTAGCCCAGCATATGAAAATCCACACAACAGAGTCACCATATTTATGCAATGTATGTAACAAAAGTTTTAAGCAGAAGGAAAAGTTGGAAAATCACAGTAGAATTCATACAGGTGCCAAGCCATACATGTGTGATCGATGCCCCCTGGTCTTTCGATTAAAACACGCCCTGGTGAGACATTTAAGAATTCATTTAGGGGAAACCTATAAGTGTTCACTCTGCCCCAAAGAATTTGGTGAACTTTATGCTTTAAAGAAACACCACAGAAATAAACATACCAGCTTTGATTTTCCTGGTGCCGCAACCAGTGAAAACATCACAGGCTTTGATGCTGACAAGTGTCCTGAAAAGTTGCTGAAGACTAAGGCAGCCAAAACTAAATCTAAGCAAGAAAGGGAGATTTTTAAGAAAAAAAGAAAGAAAATTAAACCAGCATCTTCCCATTTAAGTAAATTTGTTTCAGATAAATGTTTTCTTATGATCAGAGAGAGCAATTCTTCCACACTGGTTGAAGAAAATGGCTGGCATCGTATCCCATTGCCAGGACCCAGCAACAGTAAAAATGGGACAGATAAAATTGATAATCAGTGTTTAGAAGAACATTGTAGGAATGAAGTTGTTGACCATCAAAGAGGGCATCAGATCAGTCAGCAGTCAGTGAATAAAGAATGTTGCACTAGCCAGAAGAGGAAAGTCTTGAACTTGAAGGTATGTGAAAATAAGGAGAATCTGCAGGGGATACTTTTTCTTTTATCATTTATGTTTGTTTAGACTTTTAAAATTATTGATCACTTCATAACAATCAAGAAATTAGCTTTTTTCCCACTTAATTAAAAAAAAGTTGTATCATTCATTCATGATGTGCACATTGTTGTGTACAGTTAGGGTTATAAAGATTAAATCTGTTAATAGTTGACTCCTAGAAGAAACCATACAAAACACACTGATCTTACAGCATACAAAGAAAAATGATACCAAACCTAGTGATACTAAAATTTAATTTAATTACATAAATATATTTCTATACAAATACAAATGTGATGCAGAAGTAAAAAGTGTTTCAACTTACAGCAAGTGGAAAAAAAGGTACAATCCTCAAAATAGAAATATTAATTTATACACAAAATAATATTAACCTCATACATACATGTATATCTCTAATTAAGTATCGGTATGTCTCAGCCTCAGAAAGTCTATCTGCTAAGAAACCAGGTGGGCCTTACACAGGAATTAAATTTGAATGTTTTAAGTACAGAAAATCTAAAAATTGTATAGTATAACCTATTGGCACTCTTGAGAACAAATTGGATGTAAACAACTATTTTGCCAGCCAGGACAGTGGCGGGTGTGATGTCAATTTTAAGGTCGAGACAAATCTAAGCCGTGGTTGCCAAAAATAACCCTGTGTAGTTTAAAAATAAGCAAAGCCCTTGCTTTTCTAGGCTATGTATAACAACATCAACAAATAGATATATCTTAAAAGCGTTGATAGTTGTCTTGTGTAAAATTAATGAGATCAAATTGAACCATTGCAGTTCATACTTTGTTTCAACTTTGAACCGATTTTCTTCAAATAAACCTCAGATACACCTTTTGTACTTATACCCATGAATGTCATTGGGTGGGTTGATACATTCAAAATAATGCCCATGGGTGGGTTGAAACATTCCAAATGGTTTTTGTTCAATTAGATTAAGATTGAATTTATGTAGAAAGAACAAGGTTACATTATTTCTCTCTACTTCAGATGACCAGCTGTTACAGACAAACCTGCATATTAAGACATGAGGGTACTGTAGACAATCCAAGTATAATTAGGATGAAACCTGCTCCAGCCAATAAAGACCTTTCTCAGACCGCTACCATTGAGTACTTTGGTGATAAAGGTATTGATAGATTTATTTGTGTACACCTCTGTTTTATAATTAAATATTCAAAACTTATTTTATGTAACATGTTTCATCATTCGGTCTTCTGAATGTGTTGTATTCCATCAGTCGGTCTTCTCAATGTGCTGTATTCCCTCAGTCGGTCTTCTCAATGTGCTGTTTCTATCAGTCTGTCTTCTCACTGTGTTGTATTCCATCGGTCGGTCTTCTGACTGTGTTGTATTCCATCAGTCGGTCTTCTCACTGTGTTGTATTCCATCAGTCAGTCTTCTCACTGTGTTGTATTCCATCAGTCGGTCTTCTCACTGTGTTGTATTCTATCGGTCTGTCTTCTCACTGTGTTGTATTCCATTTGGTCGTTCTTCTCAATGTGTTGTATTCTATCGGTCGGTCTTCTCACTGTGTTGTATTCCATCAGTCAGTCTTCTCACTGTGTTGTATTCCATCAGTTGGTCTTCTCAATGACTTGTATTCCATCAGTCGGTCTTCTCACTGTGTTGTATTCCATCAGTTGGTCTTCTAAATGACTTGTATTCCATCAGTCGGTCTTCTCACTGTGCTGTATTCTCAATGTGTTGTATTCCATCGGTCGGTCTTATAATTGTGCTGTATTCCATAGTTCGGTCTTCTCCATTGCTGTATTAGTTTGTTTTTTTTTACTTTGAATTTACCTGAAGATTATTCTTTCCCTATGAAACCACATGCTATGAATTTGATTTTAAAAAAACAAACAATTTTCTCTCCCAGGCAAAATCTGTGATTGTCAAACAAAATCTGACAAGTCCTACAAGACAGTTGACGTCAGCAGCAGCACAGCACCAATTCCGCATTACACGCAGCTGAACCAGGTTGTGTTTGATAAAGTGGTCACCAGAAATAGGATCCAGCCCATAGATAACTTGACCACAGTTGGCTACAACTTGGTCGCACAACATGCCCAGCTCTCACAGCATTACAATCTAGAGAATGACCACTGTAAACAAGCTGGTCATCTGTCAAGGCTCTATAACAACAAAGCCAGGTATGATGGGGATTCATCAAATCACCATCTCAAGCCAGGGCCAAAGGGCCCTCAATGTCAGCCTACTGGTGGCTCTTCAAGTGCTCCACAAAGTGATCAACGTCATGCACCAGCAAGAGATTCACCTTACAGTTGCCCAGTTGCAGCAGCAGAGTCATGTTATCAAGCAAGCAAAGGACATCAGCTTTTATGTCATTCAGTGCCAGAGGACAAGGCATCCAGTTTGGGGGAAATTAGACGAATGGCAAATTTATTAAATCCTCTTGACCAATCCAACTTGGGCCTTTGTTTCCAACACACTCTGCATGTGCCAGGTATGACAAGCTCACAGGGAGGATCAGCCCCGCCTGGTGAGGGAAATAATCATAAACAAGTCGCAGATTTTAGCTTATATCAGGAAAGATTTGAAGGTCCGCTTGAAATCTCTTTTCACGGAGGTAGCAACATTGTACACCATATGCCAGAGCCATCTTTACTTGAGGTGGATGATGAAGATGATACAGGACCCATAAAGTGGTCAACATGTGATTACGACAATCAGTTGCTGCCTGATTCCAAACACCAGGACCAGGGTCTGCCTGATTCCAAACACCAGGACCAGGGTCTGCCTGATTCCAAACACCAGGACCAGGGTCTGCCTGATTCCAAACACCAGGACCAGTGTCTATACAGTGCAGGAAGGTTAAAGTGTTCTGGTATTTCGGGGGAGACACCTGTTCAGGTAAACACAGAAAGCTTTGAGACTTACTCAGACACCTTTGGAAGGATACAGTATCCCAGTGACACTGATAGTTTGCAAAAATCACCTTACCCTAATCACATGAGAAAAGGTCCAGTTAAGATGCCCCAATCTAGTGTTGGTGTTCATTTGGCAGACACACCTTACCCTAACAACAAGGAAAAGATACAGTATCTTAAAGTGACAGGTGAGTCAGGAAATATCCTTAACCTGTGTGCGACAGATTATTCATCTAGGATGCAATATTCCAATGTCTCCAAGAGCTTTGTGACTGCCTTAAACCAGGGCTCTCCTGTGGCCCTAACCCATTCCAATGTCTCCAAGAGCTTTGTGACTGCCTTAGACCAGGGCTCTCCTGTGGCCCTAACCCATTCCAATGTCTCCAAGAGCTTTGTGACTGCCTTAGACCAGGGATCTCCAGTGGCTCTAACCCCATTCCAATGTCCAGCACATACTAACAATTCCAATGCAAGTTCTCTGCATTCCATTCCTTTCCAAAAAACTGCGCCCAAGTCTGTTGTATTTAATGGCCACCTGCCAACTATGAGTGCGACTTACATGTACTGTCAGTCAAAGCAGACTGACCAGACTTCTGACACTTGTCATCCTAACCTCAAGAATGACAGTTTATTGGAACAATGTTTGGGAAATTGCAACATTTCCAGAAGAGGCAACATCCCAACAAGAGGCAACATCCCAACAAGAGGCGACATCTCAATGAGGGGCAAAATCCCAAAAGAAGGCAACATCCCAACGAGAGGTGACAACTTTGACAACTCTGAATGCAATGTTCAAGAGAATTCACAACTCTGCTTGAAGAAAAATGCAGACAACACGCTCACATTAGAAAACCAAAACATCTTTATTCCCCTATTAGAAAACTCTCTTAAAAGTGGGAGTGAAGTTCACACAAAAAATGTTCAGACCGCAGCTGTTGAAGTTGGCCACCACCCAGTGAAGCCACATGATTGTAATGTGATGGCACATGATTGTAATGTGACAGGTTATTATTGTAATGTGACAGCACATGATTATAATGTGATGGCACATGATTGTAATGTGACTGCACATGATTGTAATGTGACAGGTCATGATTGCAATGTGATGGCACATGATTGTAATGTGATGGGTCATGATCATTATGGCTGGATAGGTCAAGGTTTGAAAGATGTAGCTGTCCAGGATGGTGCAGTGAATGAAAGCCAAGTCATGAAACATGAAAACTTCTCAGTGACCGCAAAGCAAGACAACGGTCTCGGGTCTGGCTGTCCATCAAAGCAAGACAAGGGTCTGGAGTCTGGCTGTCCATCACAAGACAACAGTCTCGGGTCTGGCTGTCCATCAAAGCAAGACAACGGTCTTGGGTCTGGCTATCCATCACACAGTCTCGGGTCTGGCTGTCCATTACAATTTGAAAATATTTTACCCGAGAAATATATTTGTGGAAGAAACAGAATGAATAAAGCTGTTAGGAACTCTGATACAACCGAAGAAAACGTAGATGGTGTATTTCATAAGGAAGTTAGTGATTTGTCCAATGACAGACAGTGTCATCAGACTCAAGGAGAAGTTGGTGATCTGTCCAATGACAGACAGTGTCATCAGACTCAAGGAGAAGTTGGTGATTTATCCAATGACAGACAGTGTCATCAGACTCAAGGAGAAGTTGGTGTTCTGTCCAGTGACAGACAGTGTCATCAGGCTCAAGGAGAAGTTGGTGATCTGTCCAGTGACAGACAGTGTCATCAGGCTCAAGGAGAAGTTGGTGATCTGTCCAATGACAGACATTGTCATCAGACTCAAGGAGAAGTTTATGATCTGTCCAATGACAGACAGTGTCATCAGACTCAAGGAGAAGTTGGTGATCTGTCCAATGACAGACAGTGTCATCAGACTCAAGGAGAAGTTGGTGATCTGTCCAATGACAGACAGTGTCATCAGAGTCAAGGAGAAGTTGGTGTTGTGGAAATGAAAAAACTCACTGAGACAGTGAAAGTAAAACAGACAGCAACAAACATGAAGACGAACAAATTAAAACAGAATTACATGGGTAAAAAGGCATGTCATGGGAAGACTGGTAGGTCAAATTTAGAGCATACAGCAAAAGATCTAGGAGGTCAACAAACAGCTGGAGAAACAGCCAACACACAAACTGATAAAATGAGAACAGCAGACTTTGCTGAACCGGAGCAGAAATTGTCTAAAGAAGAACCAATTAAATTTGGTGAATTCCAGCCAAATATTACTGAAAGTATTCCAAAGACTAAAAGACATGTAAGTATTGAGATGTGCACAGGCTCCCAGAACAAGAACTCTTTATTAGTTGATCAGCCGCAGCAAGGGTCAGACAAGAACTCTTTATTAGTTGATCAGCCACAGCAAGGGTCAGACAAGAACTCTTTATTAGTTGATCAGCCACAGCAAGGGTCAGACAAGAACTCTTTATTAGTTGATCAGCCACAGCAAGGGTCAGACAAGAACTCTTTATTAGTTGATCAGCCACAGCAAGGGTCAGACAAGAACTCTTTATTAGTTGATCAGCCACAGCAAGGGTCAGACAAGAACTCTTTATTAGTTGATCAGCCACAGCAAGGGTCAGACAAGAACTCTTTATTAGTTGATCAGCCACAGCAAGGGTCAGGTAGTTTGTTAACAAAGAGACAAAAATATGATCAGAATGCAAGCAGGGCAGAGTTTGTGAAAGCCAGTTGTATCATTGATGATGACCTTGACATTAGGCGGTGCAAGATTTGCGGAAATGAGTACAAACGCATCGGCTGCTTAAGGAAGCATATTTTCACAAGTCATTTCAACGGGTTGAGGCATCACTGCAACAGTTGTGCCAAACATTTTCCTCACAAAAGCCGACTTGATAGACATTTGAAAACACATGTTGGGCACAAGCCATTTCCTTGTGGCATTTGTCAACAAGGTTTTACTGCACAAAAACATTTGGACAATCACATGAAGAGACACAGTAAGGTGCCGGCAGTGTTCATATGCGACGAATGTGGGAAGACATTTCCCAGAAGGTATCAATTGAAAGTTCACCAGAGGACACATTCGGGAGAGAAGCCATACAAGTGTACATACTGCCGTGATTGTTTCGCCACATCTTTCCAGGCACATCTCCACGAACGGGTCCACACTGGGGAGAGACCGTACCAGTGTCGCTTCTGTGGGAAATGTTTCAGAGGCAGCGCAAATTTGTCCTCACATGTTAAAAGCCACACCAACGATCGCCAGTACTTGTGTGCCACGTGTGGAGCATCTTTTCACGAGGCGAGTAAACTTAAGGTGCACATACGTATTCACACCGGCGTCCGCCCATTTATGTGTGACCAGTGTCCAAAAGTGTTCAAGGTCAAGCACCTGCTGGTCAAGCACATGAGGTGGCACTCTGGGGATGTGTACCACTGTGACTGCTGTCAGAAGACTTTTGATGAGAAATGGGTGCTGAGGAAACATATGGCAAAAAAGCACCCTAACAAGCAGACGTCATGACCGAGAGCCGGTCAGGGCTGGTTTTATGGGTTTAAGTACTGATAAATAAAATTCATAACATGAAGATGGCCTCATGCAGTTTGAAATGGGTTAAAAGTAATGTTAGTAATTCTTAGTTCAACTAATGAGCTTGGTTTGCTAAGGGTTAACCAAGTTTGGTTTTGATGTGGTCTAAGCTAATAAAGGAGACATAAATAGAAAGGTGATCATCAAAGGTTTTTGTTTTCTATTTTGTTAATGGACAAATTTTGTTTGATGTCAAAGTAAAAAAAACAACTAAGTATTTATAAACAAATGCAATCTATTTTTATATTTATGTTCTATGTATGTGTATTATCTTTAAGTATAATGGATATGTACTATACATATATGCTAAGTATATGTGATGCCTTCATATCATGGCATAAGTAATAGGTATATTTACTGTAAATCAATGTTCCCTTTAGGCTGCGCGGCCGGGCAGTAATCTCACAGACGCCGCGCAGCAGTTTTGAGTACCGCGCAGCTAATTTCCACTTAAGTGTGTGTTTTTGTCTGTAGGCTGTAAAATTTTGGGAAAAAAAAATAGATGCTGTAAAAATTTGCTCACAACTTTATGATTTTGCAAACGAACCAACAAACCTTAGAGGGAACATTGCTGTAAATATGTACTATATATTTATGAATGATATTTTTATATTTATATATATATATTATGTTCCTCTACTTATATGTAATACAGATATCCCCAGTTTTGATTTTTCCTTGGTTGGATTTATGTAAAAAAAATTATGAACTTGTTAAAATAGTCAATGTAAACTAACCATTTGTTAATTTTTTTTTTTTTTAATTTCTTTTTTTAATGTTTCATGTTTGAAGACTATGACTATGGTTATTTAAATTTATATACTAGAAATATTATTTTTATATAGAAATGAGGCAGGACATTTGTACAGACATGAGACAAGACATTTATGTGCACACGACATATTTACAGACACGAGACATGATATTTAAACAGACATGAGACATGACATTTATACAGACATGAGACATGATATTTATACAGACATAGACATTTATACAGACATAGACATGACATTTATACAGGCATGAGACATGACATTTATACAGACATGAGACTTGGTATTTATACAGACATGAGACATGACATTCATATGGACATGAGACAACATTTTAATCACACACAATAATCAAATAGTGATATGGAAAATATAAATATATTTTTCAAAACTTTTTATTTAAGTTTGCTTCTAGTTCTAGATTATGTGAGAATCCCTAGTTGCCACCGACATATCAACATTCTTGGGATTATCCTTCATTGGGATTTATCATAGATATTTTTTAATTGGTACTAGAGGTATACATTTTTTTACTAGATGTAATACAATTAACGATAACAGATAATCCCAGCCAGTCTTCACATAGCTGATCATGAAAAAAGTATTACTTCACATTTACAATTCTGTTTTTTAGTAGGGATCTGGGGCTGATAATAGATATATGGCTACATTGTTAAAGGAATAAATGGATATCAACATTCTTTTTATGAACAATCACTTATCTTCTATGCAATCACTATTAATAATATTAATGTGTAAGCAAAGTGATTGGGATGGAAACCCCCAAAATCAGACTTATCAAAATTGTAAAATTAAATTACAATTTAATTTAAAGGATGAAATAACTTAAAACAATATCAACAAAAGGAAATTTTTGCTTGAGCTGAATGAACCAAACTTAAGAATAATCTTATAACATATTCAAATTTCTAACTATTGTGTTAACACACCACATAAAATCTGTACTGGGTATGGTTATCATTTAACAATTACAAAATGTACTTCTTTCACGAAAAAAAATTTTCAAGCTACTAAATTTATAGAGGAAAAAATTGGAACTTCATAATAAAAGTACCGTAGTTAAAATAAGAAAACTTAGATCAAGCAATATTTTTTTTTTAAAGAGAGGGAAATTTTATTTATAGATAGTCTAAAATAAAATTTTGAAGTGTTTATTTTACTATTTTATTGTTTTTATATTTCAATGGTGAAGATAATTTGATTTGGGGGGGCAGGGGTAAGGGGTATATAGATAATATATTATATAACCATTATAACTTATAACCCTAGGTCATATCATCTATATTTAATAATTAATTTCTCTATACATAAATATTTTGTATGGTTTTTGTTTTGAAACTGCTAATAATATTTATAACAAAAGTATTGTCACAATTGTAGTTTGAGAGTTCACTTGAAATGACATCATATTAGTCCATTAAGTTTTTTGTTTCTTTCTTGTGTTGATGAGTAGGGCTGCATTTCACCTTTTTGTATTTAACTTGAGCACCTTTGGAAAAAAGATTTATCATTTATGAAATCTGAATGATAACATTCATAATATGTTTTTAAATATTAATCTACAGACCAGTTGTGTGGGCAGTGAAGGTAACAAAGGTAGAGACAAGTTATATGGGCGGTGAAGGTAACAGAAGTAGAGACCAGTTATGTGGGCGGTGAAGGTAACAGAATTAGAGGCCAGTTATGTGGGCGGGGAAGGTAACAGAAGTAAAAACCAGTTATGTGGGCGGGGAAGGTAACAGAAGTAGAGACCAGTTATGTGGGGGGCAGTGAAGGTAACAAAAGTACAGACCAGTTTTGTGGGCGGTGAAGGTAACAGAAGTAGAGGCCAGTTATGTGGGGACGGTGAAGGTAACTGAAGTACAAACCAGTTATGTGGGCGGGGAAGGTAACAGAAGTAGAGACCAGTTATGTGGGGACAATGAAGGTAACAGAAGTACAGACCAGTTATGTGGGCGGTGAAGGTAACAGAAGTAGAATCCAGTTATGTGGGGGCGTTGAAGGTAACAGAAGTAGAGACCAGTTATGTGGGGGCGGTGAAGGTAACAGGAGAAGAGGCCAGTTATTTGGGGGCGGTGAAGATAATTGAAGTACAGACCACTTATGTGGGGGCGGTGAAGGTAACAGACATAGAGACCAGTTATGTCGGAGCGGTGAAGGTAACAGAAGTACAGACCAGTTATGTGGGTGGTGAATTTGACCGAAGTAGAGGCCAGTTATGTGGGGGCGGTGAAGGTAACAGAAGTAGAGACCAGTTTAGGGAGCTGTGAAGGTAACAGAAGTAGAGACCAGTTATGTGGGCAGAGAAGATAACAGAAGTACAGACCAGTTTAGGGGGTGGTGAAGGTAACAGAAGTAGAGGCCAGTTATGTGGGCAGTGAAGAAAACAGAAGTAGAGACAAGTTATATGGGCAGTGAAGGTAACAGAAGTAGAGGCCAGTTATGTTGGTGGTGAAGGTAACAGAAGTACAGACCAGTTATGTGGGTGGTGAAGGTAACAGAAGTACAGACCAGTTATGTGGGTGGTGAAGTTAACAGAAGTACAGACCAGTTATGTGGGGTGGTGAAGGTAACAGAAGTACAGACCAGTTATGTAAAAAGTAGAAAATAAAAAAATCTATAGAAACGTTTTCTATCAAAGACTTTCCATCAAAGAGGAGTTAAAACACTAAAGAGGAGTTAAAACACACTAAAAAGAAGAAAAGAAATGAGTGTCTTAAAATGCATTACAAAAAGAAATGTTCAAAAATTAATAAAAATAAAACATATTTTCACTTTGAATCCTTTGGCTACATAGAAGGCTCATCTACACTTTTGCACAGTCATTTTTTACCTTGAAATGAAATACTCCATAGATGACCAGGGCAGTGACCAACAGAGTGACATACACACAGAGATCCACACTGCTCATCAGATGGCTGTAAACACAACGACAAAACAAGGCGTCATACAATTTTGGACTAAAACTACCCAGGCTAGATATTTGATGACAGTAAAACTATCCAGGCTAGATATTTGATGACAGTAAAACTATCCAGGCTAGATATTTGATGACAGTAAAACTATCAAGGCTAGATATTTGATGACAGTAAAACTATCTAGGCTAGATATTTGATGACAGTAAAACTATCAAGGCTAGATATTTGATGACAGTAAAACTATCCAGGCTAGATATTTGATGACAGTAAAACTATCCAGGCTAGATAACTGATGACAGTAAAACTATCCAGGCTAGATATTTGATGACAGTAAAACTATCCAGGCTAGACATTTGATGACAGTAAAACTATCCAGGCTAGACATTTGATGACAGTAAAACTATCCAGGCTAGATATTTGATGACAGTAAAACTATCCAGGCTAGATATTTGATGACAGTAAAACTATCCAGGCTAGATATTTGATGACAGTAAAACTATCCAGGCTAGATATTTGATGATAGTGTTCCTCAAATGTGTCATCACTCCTGCATAACGTTACCAGCATTGTAAAATAGTCTAGTACTCAACCGCTTTGATAGGCATACTTACTATTCTCTAGTCTAAACGATATTTGTTCAAATGCGTGCATGACCTGTAAACGAGAGCTGGCAGACGCGTGCAAGCCTGCGTACCACCACTTGGAGATGGAGTCATATTAAGCTATAAATATTATATATATTACATTAAGAAATGGCGTCAGCGGGCCGTCGAGCTTG